CTGTAAGTTCAGAACATTGAGAAATTGCAGGAGTAAGAAACTTTGTAAGAGCTCCTACAAACCAGAGCTTTTACAAACCAGATAAGCATTGCCTTCCCAGGGATTAGTTCCCTTTATCCTGGGGGCAAGACATTAAAATCCACCTCAGGCTTACAGTGGTGGCAATATGCTGCATTTGTATTTTCTTTTAAAAACTGATCCGTTATTTGTGGCAGTCATAGAGAGCACCCCAAGTTTAGTGTCCACTGATAGCTGAAAGATTTTACATGTATTAAATGCTAAGTACTAGTAGGATCTTCAATAAGAAAATGAATGGTCATATGCCTTGTATATTGTAAATTAGGGTAAAAGTGGTATTACTAGTATTTAACCAATCAATTCAGGTTTCTAATATATAAAGCTTTCTCCTATTGTGTTCCAGAAGCTAAATGAGATAATGTAAAAAAAAACAAAACACTTTTAAGTGTTATGTAAATGAGTCTTATAAAAAGTATTACTGTCACCTTGACTGTCATGACACTCGTGGGCCAATTATAATTGTGAAGGGAAATAAAAGGCTACCTGTTCAGTTTCCTGAGACCAGACATGAGTTGCCTTTGCTGCAAACAAGGGAAAGTGACTAATGTTCAGCTGTTTCTTTCTTTGTCACTCTTTGTACTTTATAACAGGAACAAAGAGAATAGGGCACAGTTCCCACCCTTTTTGTCAGTTCAGCATTTATTGAACACCATTCATTGAGCATGTGCTAGGTGGAGCGAAGCTGCTATTTAAATATATTGTTGTCCCCTCATTGGCCTGGAAAGGTATTAACCTTATTTGTCATGTAAAACCTGAGGCTCAGAGAACAGAATAACTGCGAATCTAATAGATCCAAACTAGCATTTGAACCCACATCTCTGGCTTCAAAACATGTGTTTCGCAAAATACCCTACAAACCTAGCATCCAAAAGTTAAGTAGCATCGTAAAGAAAAAATTATCATGGGAAAGGAGGCAGGAGGACTTTTGTGTGGGTGGGAGCAGCGTGATGAGGCTTTTGGGGACAAGTAGATACTAAAGGATGTCATGAGGACAAATAGGGTTTGGTAATGAAAAAGAATGCACATTGTTACAGGAAGGGTGATAGACATGATCAGCATTTACTAGGTTACCTGCCTGGGTGAGCCTGTGTGTGCATCTTGGAAAATGAGAGAACTCTACTGGTAGTGCTGCTTCTGGCTACTAGTTAGTCTCAAGATAACCAATAGTGACAGGGGAATGGGAAGGTTACAGGGACAGCACAGTAAATTGAGGGCTCCTGGAAATGATGGTAGATTCTGCTCCTTTCCAGAAATCATGAACAGGTGTTACCTCAAGGTCAGGATAAAACCCCAAATTGTGTGAGTATACCAATGAGAACATTTTAAATGTTCTATAGATACCAACTCATCTTTTCAAACCCTTTGTAGAGTACTAGGTATAGGCGTAGGGTAGTTGGGGGTTAGGGTTTTGAGATACCAGGACAAAATTCAGTACAGCTGGTTCTGTACCTTTTCCCTTCATGGGATTCCAGATTGTATGCGTGAATGTGTTGACACTTAGTCACCTCCTTTATCCCACCATTTAGCTTGTGGGTGGACAGTGATACATATGACATTAATTTGGAGGGTATTGGTGTAGATGCCAGGTATTACTTTTAAGCAGCACTGTAAAAATTTATCACAGGGAGTTTGAATTTTTTGTTCGGTTTTTGTTGTTGTTTAGTATTGGGAATTGAAGCCATGGCATTTGTACTGAGCTCCATTCCTAGCCCTTTTTTATTTTTATTTTTATTTTGAGACAGGGTCAAAGTCACCAAGCTGCCCAGACTGGACTCAAACTTGATATCCTCTTGCTTCAGCCTCCCGGTGTGCTGAGAAAGCAGGTGGGTGCCTTCACATCTGATTTCTCATATGGATTTAAAGGCCTTTTTTTTCTAGCTTCACAAGTTTTATGAAGTAGATATTTATGTAATTTTTTTTTCTTCTTATGGCATGATTTTTAGAGAAAACTAAATCAGAGCCATGTGACTAGATTTTTCAAGTAAGAGAGGAAATGAGCCGAAGAGAGCTCATTTTCACCATAAGGCCTCATGAGGTATAAGTGTTATAACTTTAGTTATCAAATTTTGGATAGCACTTTTCAGAAAGTGTAGATGATGAACTCCTGCTGCATATGTATTCTCTGTTGGTTGCAGAGGACAAGCAAACTACCAAATAAGCAGTTTTCCTGCAACTCCTGTGTATCCCACACTGCGGGTACCTGCCTGTCAGTTTAGAAACAATTTAACCCATATTCTACCAACCGGTTTTGTTGCATTTTGGTTCTTTCCACTTATATTATTAAAACAATACACAGGTTGTTCATGATCAGTATTGTTAATGACCAACCATTACTTTCAAATATACCCCCTTGTCCTGTGAGGAGTGAAGCAAAAAGACAATTTCTGGCACCCAACCTGTTACATACGTTGATGTGAATGTCAGATTCAAAATCTTCAGCTTAGTAAAGATGATTATCTAAGCCAGTACTTTCTGATTTTTTTTTTTAAATAATGGATCTTTTGGGGGTACAGGGGTTAAGACAGAGTGTTTCTATGTAGCCCAGGCTGGCCTAGAACTCACAGTGATTCTTCTGGCTCAGCCTCTGGAGTGCTGAGATTATAGGCATGCACCACCACATCTGGCTGGAATCTATTATTTAAAAAGAAATTTCACAGCTGGGGGTGTGCTTCAGTGGTAGAGCTCGTGCCTAGTGTGCACGGGGCCTTGGATTCGATCTACAGTGATGGAGTAAACAAAAATAATTTTTGACAAAGCCCCATAAGTAAAACTCATCTGCTAAATTGCCTCCCCAGTTCTCCCAGTAGCATCTGAGGTGTATAATTTGAAAACCACTAGTATGAAGTTACCCTATTAGTTATCCTTGAGGACAGACTCCAGCTAGCCTCTTAACCATGTTTAGTTCCCTAGAGTGTTCTGTTTTGCAATCCTGTGCCTTTGCTTATGCTGTTCTTCCATTATATATGCTCCACCATCCTCCTGTCACTATCTTGATGGCATTTGATTGTCTTTGGTTTTTCTCCGGTACTGGGAACCGAACTCACGACCTTGTGCTTGCCAGGCAGGCGCTTTGCCGCTGCGCTAAATCCACAGCCCCCGGCATTTGATTGTCTTTGATAAAACCTTTTCCTGGAAATTTGCCCTGATACACTATTGTGCATTCATTTTATTCCTCTAATGATAGAAGTCACTGCACTATTTAGTTTGTCTGACTCTCACACTGTAATTATGTGGTATTCTACCTCCAGTGTCAGGCACATGGTTGATAATCAGCAATGATGGATGGATGGATGGATGGATGGACTGATAATAGAATTTACCAGTAAACCAAGTGAATGAGATATCTCAGTACCTTAACCTGAGAAGGGAAATGAGAGGAGCTGATAAAGAGAATTTTCTTCATATGGTCAACTAGTTTAGAGTTTGCCTGTGGGTTTAGAGTGAACCTGACACATTTTCCAGAATGCATTCATCACCAAGCTGGTCCTAGGGAAGAATCAAGCATGAGTCATAAGGCTTCTCCCCATATCTCCCGCCATGTATTTATAGCTAATGCAGTGGTTTTTCACTTGTTAAACAAAGAAAGAAAAATGGTTGCTTGGAGGCCAAACAAAAGACTAATGGAAAAGGCTTTAATAATTAATTTTTAAAAGGCTTGTAAATGACAACCCAGCTAGGAAGTTGTAGAAACATTTAGGCTGAAGTAAGGACACAACTCCTTAGGTTGTTCTTCTGGGGTTAGATTGGGGGTAATTTGAGAGGTGGCAGGAAGAAGACCAGTGATACTTGTTTTTCCTTTTTTTTCATATACAGGACAAATCATATCATTGGGAGGGACAGTGTTGTACATTTGAGTGTTACAAGCTGGTGAGAGTCCGCAGAATGAGGAATGGAATTAAGTAGAGCTGTACTGCTTGATATGTATCATGTATAACACATGTACTGATCAGCTGTATGTCACTGACAGAATACCTGACACACAGGAGAGGTTTAATTTGATTCACAGTTTAGTCCATGGTTGGCTGGCTACAAAACAGGAACATCATGGTAGAAAGGTGTGGTGGAGGAGTGTTGCTCACCTCACAGGAGCCAGGAAGCGGAGAAAGACTGAGAGACCCCTTGAGGGCAAGGGGCCAGGAATAAGCAGTAATCCTCAAGGTCATGCCCTCATGACCAACCCAGCACACCCAGAAGTGTGCTTTACTAATGTCCTAGGCATCTCAAGTTGACAATTAAGATTAACCCTCACAACACATTTAGATACTGTTTAAGCTTCCTTTCCTTTATGCACATTACTGCTCTCAGATAATTATCATAGAACAAAGACTTCTATGGAGGTTTTCTATTTAAGTTATTCCTTTTCATGGTAATACCATTAATGGGTCTCAGTGAAGTCCCAATAAAAATTTTGAGAAAAGCCAATTCATCATTGTAACACTTTCTCTATATGAACGAAAAAAAATAGAGCTGGCATTTATTGAGCACCTACCATATCCAAAACACTGTTAAGCACATTTTTGTGAGGTACTCAGAAAGCCTTCTCAGTTACATCTTATAGATAAACAGTCTTGGATCATAAATGATAAATAAGTCAGACACAGAAAGTTAAATATCACATGGTTTCTCTGATGAGAAATACAAAATAAAGGATAAATAAGGGAAAGATTGTAGTTCTGAAACAGTGTAGCAGACTTTTTGGAGAAAATGAAGGGGGTAGGAGGAAAAGTAAAAAAGGGGTGAAAGGGAATGGAAAATGATATATATCAATTTCCCAAAATGAATGTGAATATGTATCACAAACATACACCAATTTCTTTTTTTCAGTACCGGGAATCGAATTCACGACCTTGCGCTTGTCAGGTAGCCGCTGTGCTGCCGAGCTAAATCCTCAGCCCCCATACATCAATTTTTTTAAAAAAGGTAATTTCTCCACCCATGTAGCATGTGGTACAGCCAAGTTTAGATGGGTGCAGCTGACTTAAGTCTGTTTTTCCACTAGGTTACTCTTTACCAAAGCCTGTGTAGTTAGAAGGCTTGTTAACAGAGGGACATGTGCTTCAGGAAGCAGAGAGCAGCGGTCTTCTCTAGCTCTCTTGTTCTTCCCCCTCTGCAGAAGATGAGCAAACTTGCTGTTTCTGCCTCCTCCCTTCACTAATCTATTTAGTGCAGGGTCTCTGTCATTAGAAGATAATTTACATTTCAATAGCAATTTAAGAGTTCACAAAGAATTTGCAGCATCTTCTTTCATCCTCCTTTTACATAGGAGAAATTAAAATCCAGTCAGGTTTGTAACTTACCTAAAGGAATAGGGTTAATTAGCCACAAAAGGGTTTTAACTAAAGCTACAATTCCTTAACCTTAGAGGTTCTTCCCACTACATTCTCAAGTAAGAACTTTTGATTTTACTCTCAGGACGGGAGAGGATTTTACTCTCCACAGCTCCATTTGTTTCTTCTCTTGAGAAAAGCTTATTCTTCTAAGGGATGAAATTTATTGGGTACTCACAGGCCTCTCCATATCTGGTGGTAATTATCTGAATGTGCAGGTGGCACTTTGCATCTTGAAAGATTCCACAAATGAGCGTGGAGAACACATGCAGGTGGTTAGAACATCTTTATTCATTCCAAGTGATAGGAGGCTGGTCCTTGGCACAGTAGAGAAAAAAGGCTTAGAAGTCTCCCCACCAACAGGGAGCCACCCACCCATAGTCCTCTGCATGACTCCTTACGTACCTGCTGCCAGTGCATCAGCTCACCAGGCCCAGCCACTTTCCGGAAGGTGTCGAGCAGGAGGGGTCACTGTAGAGGTTGTGCAGTCTGGTCTCATTTTACTTCAAGAAAATTGAGCTGGGAGAGGAGGGGTGTCTTTAAAGTGATTTGCCCAAACAGAGCAAGTAAAATGGCGGAACAGGAAGAACAGTGAACTTGGATCATAGCTGCTGGGCTCCGGTGTTCTCCTTTAAGTCTCATTTTTCTTATTTTTTAAAATGAGTACAATAAAACTACTTAATGTGGTTCAACATATTAAGTCCAACAATGTGCAGACAGAGGAACTTCTGTTTCTGAGTGAAAGGACTCATGTAGTAGGAGCCATCTATAGCAAAAAGGAAGTGGAAGGTTGTCAAGGGCTCAACGTTACTACCCTACCTTGCAAAATACTTTTAGCCATTATGCTTTCAGTGATCCAGCTTTTGCTGTTTTACCATGGTTTTGAAGATGGCAGTAACAAGATGAATAGAAATCCAGTATCTTCTTTCTTTCTTCTCAAATATTGACTCATTTATTTGTTGTATTGCCCTGAATATTGAGCATGTGTGCTTTGATGTGTTATTATCATACCTTTATTGGTATAGAGAACAGTATAGAGAACATTTGGTATAGAGAACAGTTCTTTAGTCTACCACATAATTTTAACCATCACAGATAGGCTTTGGGAGGCAATAATAATAGCGGGTGTTTTCTTTCTTGTGAACTTGATAATGGGAGACATTTATTTGGATTAGTCTTCCTATAAAAAACCTGGACCAACTATGAAAATAATTACTAAAGCCAATAAGATAGAAGTTGTTAACTGAGATCTGAGAAAAGGTACAAAAATAGAATAAGCCCAGCACTTACAAAGACTTTTGTCTTGATAGTATTTACCAAGCTAAGGAGGGATCTAAAACTTAGACATTCATATTCCTGACCTTCTGAGCTATAAAGGACAGAATTTCAAGGCTTGCCAAGGTGGGTACTCTCCTTGTAAATTCCCCCATTCTAGACCCAAAAGTTAATATCCTAAAAATAAGAGGTAACCAGAAATAAACCAGTCCTCAATGTATTTAAGTAGGCTTTGTATCAAATGGATGGCCAAGGACATAGAAAATCTCAAATTTTGTAAGCACCCCAGGAGTCTAGCAGAAGCAACAAAAATTGTCCTATGCCTCAAATTATTTCTATAAATAATTTTGCAATTATACAGCACACAATCAGAGAGTCCCCAGCAGAGATTCCTCTCAGCACTGATCAGCTCAGTAAGCCACCCATAAATTCAGTTGTCCTCCTTTCCCTGCTTTTCTTTTCCCAGGCACTATTCTTTATCCCTAAGACCATCTTCAAAAACAAACCCCTGCTTGTAAACACTGCTCTCCATCCTGTTGCATTCTCTGAGACACTTGGTGCCACAAATGGCCCTATGAAAAGACTTTTCCGATGTATTCTGGTACTGGACCAACCGGACCATAATAAGGACCTCATTACTGCTGGATGAATGGTATGGTGGTGTCCTCTGTTGGCATGTAGAAACCACGAACACTAAGATGCTCCCTGCTTTGAATTGGAATGGTAGAGGCTTATGTGTTAGTGATGACACAGAAACATATCTGGTCAACATTCATTTTAAGGAACTTAGAACAAACAGACTTCAAATCTGGTCTTGTAGGAGGAAAAGAAAAGGGCATGCAGGGGCTGGGGATTTAGCTCAGCGGCAAAAAGCGCCTGTCTGGCAAGCGCAAGGTCGTGAGTTCGGTTCCCGGTACCGGAGAAAAACCCAAAAAAAAAAAAAAAAAAAAAAAAAGAAAAGGGCATGCTCTGTTTAGCCAACTGTCAAACCCAAGGAATGCTGCAAGTTTCCACAGAAGCACGGAGTGCTGCCTTCTGCCCTCTGGACAGCTGTGGGAACTCAGTACAGTTGGGTTAATGCAGTCCAACTACAAAGAACACATACAGCCTTAGCAGATCTCTGATATCAGTGTCAAGACCCAGATTAAAAAAAAAACACTAGACCTTGACACATGGGGTAGATTATTCAGAAGGACAAACATGACAGCCTTGAATTCCAGATTCCTATGAACACCAGAAACAGCAGGGTCTGCCCCTTTTCCAGAGAGAACCATCTCCCCTGCCTGAGGACACTGTAAAGACTGCCAGATGGAGGAGCCTCACCAGATGTGTTTGTCTGAAGATCTGCTTCTACCTCCACATGACCATCCAGGAGAGAACACAAAAATAGAGGTTGGCTCAGTGTATTTGTCTTGTCACACGGCAGCCTATTTGTAATATAAAGACAGTGGTCAAGGAAAATCTTTCTGGTTGGCTATTTTACAATCAACCCACTTTATATCCAGAGATAAGTGGCTTAAATATGGCTAAATGTAGTCATTTAGACAGTGGTGAGTAGTTGGACAAGGCAAGACTGAAAGAGCAGAAACCAGAAAGTTTAAGGAAGAGCCAGAGAGATCAACTTACAGGAGTGAGTCAACGTCAGAGAATCATCATACTTTAGCTTGTATTATTGTCTGCTAGACACGAAGTCTGCCAAAGATGCGCAAAACAACCAAGAAGATGGAATGGCTCATGTAAGTATCAGCCAGCTTCTACCTGTGATGTTACAGTGGGATCTTTAGCAGAGAGGCCCTGATGGCAGGAATGATGACTCCTTCTGGGCTCTCTGTCACTTGGGCAATCCTAGCTGCTGCTACTGCCAAAATCCCAAAGTGCCTGCAGCAGTGCTGAGCAAATCCAGTGCTGGGCCATTGCTGTGACTCCCTTGAGGGAACCATTCAGTTTCCCGACAAGCAAGTTGATTCCATTAGACTCTTTGCACCTGAGAGCAACAATTCATCCTTCAGGAATTGGCAACTACTTTAGTTAAGATTTTGCTTTTTCTGTCTACAGTTCTTCCACATCAAAGCTTTGAAGCTGGATCTAAATCTCAGCTCTCTTACTTACTAGCTATGATTTCAACTTCTTTTGAATGTTTACTTTGTGAGATTGATGTGAAAATTAAATGAGCTAATACATGAAAAGCATCACAATTTATACTCACTGCTCGCTATTTTAATTCTTATCAGATAAAATTTCCTTCTCTTCCTAGTTCACTACAATTACTCTGAGGTTAAAAATAAAATTCAAATTTTAATTTGAATATTATCATACTCTTTTACCATGATGTCTAGCATGTTAATTTGGTGAGGCTACAATGCTAAGTGGTTCAGTCAGACTATTGTAGATGTCACTGTGAAGGTAGTTTGTAGATGTGATTAACATTTATAATCAGTTGACTTACCGGCTAAGTAGGTAAGGACTCATCTGATCAGTTAAAGCCTGAAGAACCAAAAACCAACCACCAAACACACACACAGAAAAACCCTGATGTTTCCTGGAGACAAGGCAATTCTATCTCTAAATTATAATAGAAATCCCTAAGTTTCCAACCTGCTTGCCTGCCCTGTGGATTTTGGACTCAACACTATGCTTAACTCTTGGTGGCTTTTGCACTGAGCAGTCCCCACAGTTATGTACTTAAGTGATCCAGTTCTTTAAAATCAATCTCTTTTCATCTCTCTTCCTATATATTTTTTTCCTCCAAAATCATAGGTCTTAAGCACATTATTGACTCTTTGAACCTTGATCATTAGTGTCTCATTAAAGTAGGTTTACTAGAATGACCTCAATATTATACTGAGGTTTCAAGGAAATGAAAGCATTTTGTAAACTCTAAAGCAGTACATAAATGTGGTTGGGATTATTAGAACACACAAATAAATATGACCACTCACAGTAAAAACTAAAACAGAGCTTCCTGAACTCCCTGGTTCTGTTTCAGAGAATCTTCCATGTGTATTTGCAGCGGTGAGAGGACATGCATGAGAATCGGTGCAGTGTACATGGCCTTCTGGGTATATGCCCCTGCATTCTCAAATCAGACGTGGTGACAGTCCCCTGGCCAGAGAGGGCTGAACAGTGCTGCTTTCGGAACACCTGCAGCCACCCGTGGAGTCTGATGTGCTGTCACCTGCAAACTGCTTTTCTTTCTACACCTATGTGAATGTAATTTTTTTTTGTTGGTCAACATCTATTATTCCATCTAACATTGAAGTAAGGAGCTTTTGTTTTGTCACCTCACTCCATTGTTCTTCCTTTGCAGCTAGAGGAAAAGAAGATCCTATTTTTCAAAAGAAAGAACCCAAGTTCAGAAGTCACCAGATTGGGTTTTATTGTCATTTATGTCCAGAGCAGCTGAGGAAATACGATCTTTTTGTGCGTTGGATTATTTATCTGTCAGTCTTGTTAATGGTGTCTGACCAACCTACTTTATGTGGTTATTAGAGTAAATGGAGAAATTAATGTGTATAGGGAACTCAGAGAGGCATTCTATTAGTTAACTTACATAATAATTTACATAAGTTATTTAGTTAGCATAAAGCTGGATAAATAGACTCCTGGGTGGAGGCTGTGGTGTGGTGGACAAAAGCCTGGCCTCTGAAACCAGGTTGCTTAGGTTTGAACCTCAGCTCTTGTGTAACCTCTGGGCTTCCATTCCTCCATCTATAAAATGGTAGTGTTCTACCTCATGGGATTGTTGGAAGACTAAGTGGTTTGATTTATAAAATGAATAGTGGCAGGTACCATAAAGTGATTATGTAGACCATGAATGATCTTGTCGATCAGAGGAGATGAGTAGATTATCCACTTAGGTTAGCAACAATAAATTGAACAAGTGAAATGCCCTGGGATTGTGCAGGCAGGAGGCATGGGTGGGGGTATGCATGAATCGTGACTAGCCATAAGTTAATGATGGTGGATGCTTGGTATTAGTTACATAGACATTTGCTTACTGTTGCTGTACTTTTGTAAAAAGTTGAAATTTTACTTACTAAAAATGCTTTTTTTGAAAACATTGGCCTAGGAAATCCAATAGTTCTATATTGGCAGGTCTTCATTTCAGTTCATTTTTGCAAATGATCACTAACTGGACTAGGAGATTAGGAACTGATAAAATTATATAAAGTTATGTTCACCTCATGTTCATTTTTATCAATTTCTTTTATTGGGCACAGTTGACAAAATCATATATATTTATATATACAGCATCATATTTTGAGTGGCATATACATTATGATATGATTACTACAGTCAAGCTAATTAACATATTTTAGACAGCGTTTGATGCATAAAATATTGGAACGAAGTCATATTAGGAGTAATTTTGCCAGACTCTCAGGTCTCATGTTGTAATCATCATTGTAAATGTTTACGTGACTAATTGAATGACTGAGTGAGAAAAAAGGTTTTTGACAATAAGAAAATGTGACTACATTTCAAGTAAAATTTAGAAAGTAACTTATATAGACAAAGAGGTTGTGACACAGATAGAGACAGGGTCACAGCCTCCAGTCTGCAAATAGCATTATTTATTAACACATCTTTCTGAGTTAAACAGTAGCTAAAATATCCTAGCTGTCATGTTTAATGATTAGTTTACATAACCTCACAACACTAACTTGAAAGCTAAGCTCATTTATTTTTCATATGCACTGTAAGCAACAGCACCTGGGGTTCAGGACAAACCTCTCCCACGAGGAGTTAATGCAACTCAGTAGTCAAGCAGATGTTGCTGAAACTGGGCTGTTTCTTAATTTCACACCATACTCAGTTGCTGGCAGCCAGTAGAGTTTTTTTATAAAACAAAAACAATCTATGTTGGTGGGAAGGTATGGAGAATTTTCTAATTTAAACATTATAACTCACTGCTAATTTTTATCAAAGTAAAGTACAAGGTCTGAGACAGACCTGGATCTGAATCCAATTTCCATTAGTCACAAGATTCTTGGCAAGTTCTTAAACTATCTGAGCTGTTTTCTCATTTGTAAAGGAGAGTTAATACCAGTCTCCAGTGAACTGGTAAATGTTTAACAATTATCTCTCAGGGTTAGCAAAAAGCTGTGATGTGTAGGGCTTGCTGGCTTCCACGGTGTAATTATTCCCACCATGGCCTACTTCAAGCTACCAACAGGACGTCTCTGAAAAACAGAGCCAGGGAGCGATGGGCGGCAGCAGTCACACACCACCCTTCATTGTTCCCACCCTCCAGATGCATGGATCTCAGTGTCCCCAGAAGCCAGATAATAGTAAAATCTAATAACTAAATGATTAGAAAGCAGTGTGTTTTATTTATGTATTACATTTGTTTTTAATATATATTATTTAATTGTAAGTTGATATAATTTGATTTTAAGTAATGGCGGAATACAGACTCCAGCTTACAAAATCCCTGAGAATTTAACAGTTTGCCCTCATTCCAGTTCCATCACACTGCTGCCTATCTCTAGCTCTTGGATTTCCTAAGCACTGCAGTGAGGAAATTTCTCCATGACCCATATCCACATCAAAGGATGTGAGACTGACATGTGACCATGTATCCCATCTGACTCGTCTCCAGGATGGCCATGCTAGCTGCCTCTCCTACAGCAGAACTTGGAGCTCTCTACAGCTCCAGGGGCATCACTGAGGGACAGGAAACGTGTAATGGACCCTGTCATACCATGCAGCATTTGAAGCAGCAGATGAGCATCCAACTTCGAACACAGAGTGGTCAGCATAGCACAGTGATAAAAAGTAAAAGCAGAATCAGATTTCTAGCACACTACTATCTATTTAAATGCATACAAAGTAATGTACTTTTTCTTCAAGGGTACTCAGATAAAAAGGTGCAGGTGGGGATATAGCTCAGCGGCACAAGTGCCTGCCTGACAAGCGCAAGGTCCTGAGTTCGATTCCTGGTACCAAAAAAAAAAAAAAAAAGATCAGATGTATTTGAGTACTCTTGGAATGCCCATGGAGGGCAGGGCTTCGTTGTGTCAGCAAGATGCTTTCAAGCTTGAATTCCTATTGCCTCTAATAAATCTGTGCAGGCTTATACATTTATCTTATTAATTTTACAGATTTAAAAATACATAGAACACATATTTACTGTATTTCCCTAATAAAGCAGTATTTCCAGTATAGGTACTACATACAGCAGTCATTAAAGGTTAAAACCATCATAGCTAAGTTATCTGTACATTCACAGTGATATTCTGCTTTGTGTATGTTATTTCACGTAATGTTCAGACAAAGGACTGAAGTTTAGAGGACCCAAGTGTTATAGCAAAGATGAGAGACCTAGCAAGGACAGGGCAGCACTGCCTAGCAAACACCAGCGTTCCCTGGTACTCTGCCAGGGGAAACAAAATCTGTGTGAACCTTGCTGGGTAAATGTGAGGTCTTTGCACTCTGTATCTTCATTATTCTTTTGTGCATTCTTTGTCCCCAGACAGAAAGCAAATACTACAACAATGATTAACTTCAAAGTGTGAATTACACTGAAGTAATGATGCTGTAAGGATAATGAAGATTTTAAAGAACTCTGTTTTTATTTGAATGGTAAGTTAGCAACTCGCATGTTCCAGTTTATCCAAGGTCACACAAGAAATTTTCCAAATGCCTAAGGTGGAAAACCCAATTTCCTAACTCGTAGGCCAGATGTAATTTAATTGGAACAAAGATTTGGGAAATCCTAGAAAGGTAGGACCAACAGCTGGCTGTACAGCTTAGACAAGTTGCTGGATATTCCTGAGCACCAGTTTCCTTAATGGGTTGGGGATACCAGACCTGGATATGGGTATACCTGGTTGGGTATACCAGTTGGGTATACCAGATTTGTATGGTTGCTACAAAGATCATTCATTGATGCCTTTATGTATCCATTCCACAAATATTGGTGGAGGCAACTTTTATGTGTCAGGCCCTGTTCTAGGCACAAGGACATAATGGGTTTATCAAAATCTCTTCACTTGAGCTTATATTCTAGCAAATGAGGTTCAAGTAGCTAAATAAATATACAGATAAACCAGTTAGTGAGTGCTATAAAAACTAGGACAAGGAAATAGAGAGTTATGGAGAAGGACATATTTTAGGGAGGAAGGTCAAATGTATATCTTTGAGGAGGTAAGACCTGAGCTGACACCTAAATGAAATGAGGGGTGCAGCCATTCCAATATCTGGAGGAAGAGCATCATCTAAAGAGAAGGAACAGCAAAACACCAATCTTCTAGGTAGTGATAAACCTGACCTGTTCCAAGAAGAGGCTCACAGGGGACAGCACAAGAGAGATGTGTAATAGTGAGATAGAAGTGACAGAGTAGATGAAATCAGCAACATAAGGCCTGTGACTTACGGCAAACACAACGTATTAGAAATTTGTGAACAGGGAGTTGACATCACTGTATCTGATTTCCATTTTTAAGACAGTTCTCTGATTAGGTTGAGAGGGGTCAAAAGTCAACATGACCTAGGTAGGAGGCAGTTACGTTAGTCCGTATAGAGAGATGCTGGTGGCTTAGAGGCAGAGGCGGTGGGAGAAGGGGAGAGGCAGCTGCAGTGGGGATACTCCTTGACCTGAGCAAATATTCTTCATGTTTATAATATATCAGATGCTGTTTGAAAAATTCAATTTCAGGTATAAATTTAACTGTAGAAGTTTCTTAGGTACTGTCCTTTGGTTCTTGATTTTTCTCCTCCAGGGAATAATCATATTCTTGTCTGTGGTCGTATACTGCACGCACCTTCTATGCCCCTGTTGTCTCTCCCACTGAAGGTTTCACCCACTAGGGCATATTAAGGTTGACTTAGCAAGGTGCTAACTTCTGTGTAGAAGTTTGGTGTTGCACATACTAGAATTCTAGGGGTTCAGTGCCTTTATGATTAGGAAAAGAGGACCCCTGGCATTTATGTTAAGGTTGGTGACTATGACATGTGCTGTACTCCACCCACTACTAGTGACAGAATCCTCACTCCCAGCTACCCAGGGAATAACACATCTCTAAAATCCCTCTTTATAGTCTGCTTCCTAGGCTCACCTCTCACACCTGTTGCCTTAGACAGGGACCCTTCCAAACAGATTGTGAATCACAGTTGATTGCGGAAGTGTGTGCAAGTGCATTCAGGAGATACACCTTTTCAGAAACAAGCAAGTTAGGAATACATGGAGGGAGAAGCTGATCTGTGATGTGACTGTAACTGAGGTCTCAGCCATCCCAGAGCCTCCACATAACATCTGTACCTCCCACAGAAACTTCATGTATCTCCAGATCTGCTGGATCCCATACTGTAGTATAGATGTACGTCTTGCACAGCAACACTATTTGAGACAGGGCCTGCTCCTGTCTGGATCTCTGTCAATCCTGGAAGCTTTTTAGGACCTTACAGGGAGCTCTGAGCAATGTTGGCCCTTTACTTGTCCCAAATTGAAGTAATTCAGCATGGGCTACCTCTGAGGAAGGAGAATAGCATCAGGAGGGGCAATCCCTGTCACTGACAACAGTTCCTAGTGAGGCCCCAGCTCTGACACCAGCTAGCAGGGCATCTAGGGGATAGGACATAGGCTGTGAAGAGGAGTTTAGGGTGGAGGACCACAGGATCCAGCACATACGAGCATCTTCATTTAAATGGAAGAAACAGTGCCATGCTAGCGAGTTAAATATGGCATGGGACCTCCCTGTGTTTGTGTCCGAGTTCCTAGACATCCAAGTGGCCGTGTCCAAGCTATTCCATGTTCCTGAGCTTTTATTTCCTTATTTGGGAAATAGGCATGGTCATAGAATGCCTTGTCCTACTGCCTAGATATTACAGAGATGAAGTCTTCTCATGAATGTGACCTGGTTTCAAAGAAGTGCACACCAGGGACAGGGGTTTTAGGGCACAGCTCCAAGTCCATGGCAGAATCCACTAGGAGAAGGAGAGTGCTTCTTACATCCGTGCTTCTAGGAAAAGAGGACTAGAGGAAAGACCCTCAAGGAAGGAGGAAACTTGGTGCAGGAAAGAGGAAGAGAGTGCAGCCAATATTTGTTAAAGAACTACCCCATGCAGGCTGCTACATTTGGCGCTTATTCCTACATTTCATTAGGAAGTTTGCTTGCAAGTGAAGTTAAACCCATCTATCCTAAGCAAACCTGGTGCACAAACTAACTTACGCCAAATAAATATTAGCTTGACAGCTAAAAGGTGGAGAGGACTGGATTCAGGCATAACTTGATTCCAGGACTTATATGTCTCCAAGACCTGCCTCTTTACTTTCCATCTCTGAGCTCTGCCATAGCCCCTGGCCTTCCACTCAGTCTGAACCTGTTGACTGAGATGGAAGCAGCAGCTCACCTTCCTCTTGACTCAGTACCCATGTCTTGATTATCATGTGCTAATTGGCCAGGGCCTCTGTGGAGCACATGGACCAAGAGTGGTGACTAGATGGTTCCCTGGGGCTGCAGTTATGAAGAAAGGCAAAGGGAGGGGATACTGGACAGCAAAAGCCACAGGTGAACATGTCAGAAGGCTGTGATCCATTTTAGAGGTGAGAGAACTGATGGTCATGGGCAAAGTTGAATGACTTGCTCACGACAGACTCATTACTTGGAGGGAAGGGGTGATTGACATATAGCTAGAATGTAGTCACTGTGCAGCTTGACACTTTGCATGGCTCTGAAGCCTGTGTTTATGTTCCCTTGCGTGACCCTGACCTGATCACCTATCCCTTCTAACCTTTGTCCCCTATGGACCTGACATTCCATGCTTAACCTTCAGCAAACTTGTTATTAGATAAGAGCAAAATCCAGGAATGTCGTTACTGTTGCTAAGTATCAAGTTCTCTTTCTTTGCAGTATTTTCTGCAAGTAAGAGTAAGCCTACTTCTGTTCAGCCTTCCTCTCACTACCTGTGATCCCTTTGGCTTATTTGTACACTAGGGCTCTACTTCTCATCCTGCACTCAGAAAATAATGGATACCTTGGCCTGAAGTGTGTAGTTAATTTAACAGTTCAAATCCTCTTCCACCTTTACCATGCTTACCTTGCTTACCATTGTCCTCTGCTCTATTATAAAACAAATACTTCTTTATACTATACTGACCCCAGATATTTCATCAATTCACTGTGGCACTGAAAGCCAAGTATTTATTCAGGCTAGTTACAAACAAAGTCTACTTTATAAAGTTGTAGCTGCAGGCAAGCTAGCCAAATTACCTTTTACAGAACTGGTTGTTGTAAAATTTTTAAGTGGCAGTATCTTTTAAACATCATACCATGGGTGGCACATAATTTTGTCACTTTGACAGATTATCTGTTGTCATTTTAATCTACACTTCTAGTTTTGTCTATCTTTTGTCACTGTATTATATAGTTGTAGGACTATATAGTTGTAATTTTATTTTGTTTATGTACATCGAAGATTTTTCCTTTTTTTAATCAGGACTTCACTGTTTTCATTGCTGTTTCATATTCAAAAGCATCTATTTGTTCATTCAATAAATATTTAATAACTATTAACTATTCTTCTATGAGTTTGTTATGGTTTGTGTCTGGGTGTCCCCCCAAAGCCTCATGCGGTTATGGTGTGGGCTTCTAGAATTTATGATTGATCCATGCACCAATGCTGGGATTATAGGTGTGAGAGCTACACCATCCCTGGGGCGGGTAGTTTGCATACAATGCAGGAGAGAAAGAGGCTCTGCTCTCCCTGTTGCTCTCCCCTTTTGCTCTGTTGCTTTTACTATCTTCCGCTGCCCTGGATGGTTGCCCTCTGTCATGTGCCGTCCTGCCTTAGAGCCAGCCCAGTATGGACTGAAACCTCCACAGACTGTGAGCTAAATAAACCTTTCCTTCCTTAATTTTGGGCATTGCGTATTTTGTCTTAGCAATGAAAAAAAAGTAACTAAGACAGAGTTATTTCCAAATTTATTATTATAAATAATATAATTGTGTTTGTATATATACCTCTCCTGACCTTTAAATTATTTTCGTAGGAAGAATTATCAAAAGTGAAATCATTAGGATGAACATTTTTATAGCTGTTAAAGCTAACAGCTAACCTTGTGACAGTGTTATCAATGAACCTGTTTTCTCATGATCCTCTTCACTGATGAGACACAATAAATTTACTTACAGTAACTACTAACCTCCCTCTATTAGCTGGGTTTTGCTTATCTCTCTCTCCTAATTTTCTAACTCCTGGCTTTCCATTTCTCCCATTTCTACCTAAAGAAAATGTAGTTTTTAATGTGCTGGATGCCTTGTTTTGATATTACATTCCTGCTACCATAGTTCTGTACTGGAGCCAGATGCTGCATACATGGTCAAAGGACCATCATCAACCATCATCTCCTTTGCTTAGTGCTATAAACTGAATTATGTTGCCCAACCCCAATTCATATGGTAAATCCTAACCCCTGGTATATGGTGTTTGGTGAGAGGGCCATGGGAGGTAATTATGTTTAGAATAAATCATAATGAGAGTATAAAAACAGATACCAGAGACCTTATGAACACTGGCTTGCTGTCCCTCTCCCTCAGTCTCTTTTTTTCTTTCTCCCTACCTCTCTGTCTCTCTTTTTCTCTTCTCCATGTGAGTACACAGCAAGTATATAACCATCTACCATCCTAGAAGTAAGTTCTTATCAAATATCAAATCTGCCAGCACCTTGACCTTGGACTTTACAGACTCTAGTACTAAGAAATCAGTACCTATTGTTTTATAATACAGCTACCCAGACTGTGGTATTTTGTTATAGGAGCCTAAAGTGACATATACTCAGGAGCCATCCATTTTACCATTTACAGTATTAATAGATAATGCAATGCAGATCTAAGAAGGTAGTTTAGAATTTATTGCATTTCCACCATTCTTATTTACTTTTCAAGACAGCCCTGTAAAGGTGCTCGTGTTCTAGAACAATAAAGGTCAACAGGGACATGTAGAGAACTGTAAATAGTTCAAGGTGTCTCCAGGGTGAGGAGTGCCATACAAGGGAAGTTAGTGGACAAATGAGTGGCTCTCAGAGGCCAGAGCCCAAAGGCTCTTCTGTGCCGGGCTCAGGCATTTGGCCTTTGGCCAAGTGAGGTTTGGGTTGGGAAAGTTTCAGCAAAGGAGCAACAGGGTGAGGTCACCATGCTAGAAACAGCTCTGATAGCCTGGGAGTGGGCAGGAATCCCAGCAGGAGATGTGCGAAATCAAGTGTGACAAAGGCCTGCAGGAATGCAGGCGTGTGGATGAAGGATGACAAAGGTCAGGGGCCCTGACAGATTGTTTAACCCCCTTAATTTAGAAGAAACTGAGGAACAGAGAGAAAAGAGAAACTTGTCCAGCAATTCAAGCTAGTTCAAGAATCTACTCTACAGACAACTATTGAGTCCCCACTGTGCTTGGCACAAGAGATGTGTTCTTGGTTCATAGATTATTAAGGAAGGTGGATATTTTCAAAGTAAGTAAGCACAACCACACTCCAGCGCTACAGAGGAGAGACAAGGGGCCCAGGGAGGTTCAGGCCATACTAACTGGTGGACCAAGGCTCAGGAGCAAAGCATCCTGTGCCACAGACCATGCTTCTACCACCTGCCTGGGCTGCCTCAGCTGGCTTGTTTCTGGGCATGTGGGTGATCATCTGATCACTGTTGACTCATTTGTCCATCAGAATAGAAACTCACAAGGGGCAGGCCAGCCACCTGTAGCCCTTGTGCATACAATTGGACAGGTTAATTGATGACGTATGATATTATGAGTAATAGTGCTCTTTTAAATAGCTGAATAATGTACCAATAAATATAAATTTCTCCTACTAAAGTACCACCATCAGTAGCTTAATTAATTACAATATTTTTGAAGGTATAAAGAAAAATAATTTTCCCCCAATATACTACTTTCTGGCTGTGATAAGGGCTGGAGTGTGTGTGTCCCCTTTAGTTGTCCTTTTCAGTGAGTGTTTTAATCATACCACACAGTCCTCATTGTACCCCCTGTAGTCAAGATTCCTATGGAGGAAATAAAAAGAAGGGAAGAAAAATTTGCCATGATCCTGTAAGATTAGGGAAAGCATTTTTCATGTGTGTGGTTTAATTTTTATAGAAATGTTACGGCTAGGTGCTTTGGTTCTGAGGAGAAAGCCACAGTCAAACAGGTATTAGGATATAGAGCTGAGATATGGATTTGGGAGTCTAATTCTGGGTGATCTGCATTTACCAAGCATCTCTGCTTTGCTTGGAATTGTGTGATGAATGTGGCCTGCTGCTTCAGAAGAGTCACAAGGCCAACACTAAAGGAAAATCAAAAACAGAATCAAAGGAACACTGATTCATGAAAGAGGCTATATGGATAATATAAACCACATATCCTTCCCCCCCACTTGTCTCTGATTTTTTGATGCTTTAGAGTGACAGAGGGCACTTCAGATATTTTCCCACTTCTGCCTATAAACTTCCCAGATTCTCTTCTCGAAGCCATCGTTTGGAAGAGGAAAGGAGCCTTCACTGAAGAGGGCTTTGATGGGAGAAGTTCACTGAAAGTTCATCTGGCTTTGCTCACTCCTGGTAAGAGCCCCTTGAGTGGCTGGGCAGACATCTGGCTGCAAGTGGGGAGACTGTGGTACCCTAAAAAAAACCTGTGTTCACAGAGGGAAAGAGAGGATAATCAATCACTAGAGGGAGAAGAGGGGGGCTTTCTAGGGACTTGGCTTTGTAGCCACAGTGGCTGATACTGTATAGACAGTTATTTTTTAACCTACTTAGTTGAAGAAGCCTGGACAGTAGGGGTTATGATAAGGCTATGTAAGTATCAGGAGAAGGAGGGATATAAGGCAGAGTTTTATAATTGGATATGTTTGTATAACTGACCAGATCCAAAATTCTGTATGGTCATGGTCTTCTTTAGCATAGGGGTTTGAATGGATTTGGCCTTCTCTGGAAGATTGGGGCCAACTCAGTCTCTTTTTCTTTTCTGTCTCTCTCTCCTCCCTGTCTCTCCCTCTCTCGCTCAGTCCTTCTCTCCCTCCCCTTCTACTCTCTCTTCCTTTCTCTCCCCGCTATCCCTCTCTTCCCCTTTCTGTGTCTTTCTCTCTTTCCCCCCACCACTCTTTTAGGAATTTCACTTTTTCAGGCAGCCCAGTCATCTTGCACACCCCACTGCCTTCACATTCCCTCACTTGGTGCCACTTGATCTCCACAAACAACCCTGCTTCTAGCCTTCAAAATCAACCCTCTGAGACCAGAGGCGAGAGGGATTTAAGCAGCCCTAACCACATTTCTCTGGGCCATTCTCTATCTGACTCTGCTGGGTTGCCCAGTCTGATAACTCCTGTGTCACTGTGGTTCTAGAGTCCCTGTCTTGGCCACAGTCTCCTGCTACTATCCCATAGTTGGCCTGGGTCTCTGTCTCATTCTTGTCAATTCCATTTGCCCCGCCCCACCCACACATCCAGACCAGTGTCCTGATCCTGCACCGCCAAGGGCTCTGATCCTGCGGAGACCCTCTGCTTTCCACATTATCTATTGTGATTCTCCAGCATGTTGTCTTGTACCCCTCATCCCACCCCTCCCCATTGACAAATACCTGCGTGGGTGAAAAACTGTTTCCAGAGCACATAAGTCCTACCCCAACCCCGGGCCTCTTTGCAGCTTTTCAGCTGGAGTGAGGTTCTCATATTGTGTCTAGTCCTTTTGGAACTAGTTCAGTCCAAACCACTCTTATTCTGCCCTTTCCTGCCACAGTTAATCATTAATGTCTAGAATATGGGGGAGGGGCCTACCAAATGTTAAATAAAAACAGGTATATTCTGAAAATCTAATATGATTAACCACATTAATGTACTATTCTGTATTTGAGTTTTCTAGAGAAACATATTTAATAGAATATATATATATATAATTTGTAAAGGGATTTATTAGGGAAGCTTGCAGGGTCAGAGGTGGGAGAGTCGCTGACAGCTGACTGTGGGATCCAAAACAGAAGGGTCCACAGTGGCTGTCTGTGCACTGGAGAGCTGGAGGATCCAGTAGCCAAGCACATTAAGAAGATGGAAGCCACAGAACAAGAAGGATCAAGGATCCAGCATCAGTCCAAGGTCAATGTCTGGAAGCTCACTGTAGAGTCATTGGTGTGAGTCTACACTGGAAGGCCAAAGAAACTGGAGACCTGGATACTGATGCCAAAGATGATGACAGCAAGAACATACCCACTCAAGACTAGAGCTCACAAAATGAGTACATGTAGTGGATTGACAAGTGGTGGTCAACTTGTAATACTCAGGTGAACTGAACCAGTGTGGTGCTGGGTGTGGGAGACATCCCTGAGGATTGTTGCCAGCAGCTCAAGAGGCAGAACTGGAGAAGAAGAAGAGAAGCTATTGGGAAGCTGTAGGGATCTGGTGATTCTCCTGGAGAAGCTTGTCGTGCTGGCTTTCCTGATGAACTCGGCTGCTCTCATCTTCGAAGGAACTCAGGACTTTACTGTTGCTGAGAATGGCTAAGGTTCACTTTGGGGGAGCTCTGGTCCTCACTTTGAGCATCACTTCCTGACTCCAGAGGGGAAGATAGTGCACTGCTTGGTCTCCAGGAGAAGTTTGTTGCCTTGGCTTTCCTGATGGGAACTTGGCTATTCTTATCAGTCTTGGTTGTTATAGAAGAGACTCGAGATGAAATGTAATATACATCCCCTTTGGGGCTAGAGATAGTAAGAAATTTCCTTAATTCGATAAAACATATCAACCTTAAATCTACAGCAAATCTTGTACTAAATGGAAAAATATTTAAAGATTTCCCTTTGCCACACATGTAATTTAGGTCAATTTAGCTATCCTACAATATAGACATACTTCAAAACAACATATTGTACATGATACATACAATTTTATTTGTCAATTTATATAAATAAATTTTTAAAATATTTCCCTCTGAGGTTGGAAGCAAGTATGTACCTCTAATCAGAGTCCTACTGGAGATCCACACTAGTGAAATAAGGAAAATAAGAAATAAGGCAAGATGTTAAAAAGACTTGTAGCTGCTATTATTTATAACTCTCATACTTCCAAAATATAGCCAGATATGCTAAGTTTGTGAAATACATTTATAAACTTGTAACTGTGAAGCACAAATTCCGGTAAACTGGGACCTGTAGGTCAGCTGTGATGGAATCTAGGTCACTTGTTTTTCTTTGTTCTTATTTTAAGGTAACCTTTTCCTCACTTTTTTTAAGGCCTATAATTCTGTGCTTCTATTTTTTATTATAATGAGGGCATCATAATCACATTAAGGTTTGAGTAGAACACAGGAGATTTGAGTTAATCTGAAGTGCCTCTGGTCTTCGGTGCTGGTTGACAGCTGCCTAACCTGTTCTTAATGAAGTCTGGAATTAATGAAATGTGAATAACAAGAATCAAAGCTTATTTCTGATAATAAATATGTATAGTTCGTTCAGATAGATCTACCCATTTTGTTGCATCTCAGAATATCTGGGATATGATAGTTTCTTAAGTACTTTCAAGTTTAAAATATATTATGCAGATAAATGCATTACAATTTAGAGTGGTTGTTAAGTGAACACCCATGCAACATTCCCCCAGGCCAAGAAGTGGGATATGAAGGGCACCATATATTCCTATTATAAAGCAAGTTTAGATTTCTCAGCCCCTTTTCTTGCTTTCACTCTCACAAACACTCCTGCCATGTGATGCTGTCCACACTGAGGCCCTCACCAGATACTGCTAACATGTCTTGGACTTCTAGAACTGCTTCTAGGACTGTGAGCTAAATAAACACCTTTTCCTTATAAGAAACTAGTCTCAGTCATTTTGTTATAGCAGCACAAAACAGGGCATGACAAGCATCAATCTCTGTCAAAAACATTAGGCTATGACTTTTAGAGGATGATTTGTGGTCATTAGTAATGACTAAGAATTGAGATGGCTTCTGTAGTAAAATATTATCTATCATTAACCTCATTTCCACTTTAAGAAAATCACTAGGGGGGCTTGGGATTTAGCTCAGTGGCAAAAGCGCCTGCCTGGCAAGCACAAGGTCATGAGTTCGGTTCCCGGTACCGGAAAAAAACCAAAAAAAAAAAAAAAAAAGAAAGTCACTAGGGTCATAAATAAAGCAGATGTCATAAACAAATCTCAATTTTCAAAATCCCAAATGCTAGGTAAATTGAGGGATTAATAATTTCTTTTAAAACTACCATTTTATCAAACATTTTAAGTCATTCTCAAAGAACTCTATTCTCAGTCTGTCCAGAGATAGAAAACATACCAATGGTACAGTTATTCAGAGCTGGAAGAATTGATACAGTATCACATGGCAGTCTCCGACTTAGGCAGTGTTAAACATATTCCAAATAAGAGCTGAAAAAAGATGAAAAAGAAGCAATTTTTAAAAAGTTCAGCAGCAGATGCAGGATTCTCAAGAGGTTCTGGCTTCACATCAGTTGAATTGAGAAACAAAGTTTTAGCCAAGTGCAATATAAACATGAAGCAACAATATGATGTGGCCATTTAAAAAGCTAATATGATTTTTAGGTGCCTCGTATAAATATAGAAGCCACCTCACTATATTTACTGTATTGATCTTGCAGTGTTTCTGTACCTGTTACACATAGCAGACCACTCTTTAATTTCTGGTTTCTCATTTTGAGAGGAAAATGATAGATTGGCCAGAGGGCAAGTGGGATTATGAACAATCTGGAAACCAAGCCATGAGGACATGGTGAGAAGATGTGGTGAGATATAGCCTTAGAGGGAATGCAAGAGCTGCTGTTATGTATTAGAATGGCTCTCAGAAGAAGTTTCTTTTCATCAGTTGGCTTCTTGGTCACTTCTTCCAGTGTGCTGCAAAAAAGCAGAATAAGATGAAATTCATAGAATGGTAGATTTCAAATTAAGACAATCTTTATAGCCATGGCCAATAAAATCTGGTAGGGACTTCTTGTAATGTACTATATTAGACAAAAGATTCCAGTGGAGATGAAAGAGCACATTTTAAGTGACTGAGGTGAGAAAATGAGCTGATACCCCACAAATGAACTGATACCTCATAAGTGGTCACCAACAAAGGCCTTGGAGCCAACAGACCTATACTCAGTCCTCCCATTCTGTAGGAGATAGCTCTGTGCTGAGCAAGTTACTTCACCTCACTGAACATTTCCTTATTTGTAAAATGTGCACAATAACAGTAATATACTCATTTCCCAGAACTTTTTGAATGATTAAGTAAAGGAAAGCTATTATTGGTAACCCTTAGGGAAATCTCTTCAGTGAGCCTTGGATCCTACACCTGCAAGGCAGCAAGGATGGGAAGCTTGATAAACTCTCTTCTGCCTGAAAATTACATTTGCCTATGTTGATTGTTCCTATGAAAATTTAGGTTTCATTGTTCCTATGAAAATTTAGGCAAAATAAAGTTGTGGCTTAATTTCAGCATTATATTCTATATTAGTCAGTGTTCTTGTCACTGGGACAAAATACCAAACACCCTCCACTTAAAGGAGGAGATGTTTATTTGTGGCTCAGTGTTTCTGTGGGTTCAGTTCATGGTATGCTGGT